GGATGCATTTAAAACCGATTTCTATTTTTATGCAACAATACGCTATCTCAGCTGACAATAGAGTGAAAAGCGTCTGTTTATTGTTCATTTCAGGCGATGGGAAGTCTCCCAGTTGAGAAGTTTCAAGGTCATTATGATCTACAGATGCACCAGAATGATGAGGCCAAAAAAGTACGTGTTCGGCAGAATTTTCTATATTTTGTATTGTCCATTGTAACAGCCACAATATATTTAGGGAACCAAGTGACTAATCCGAAGTCGAATGGCAGTCTAATTAGTTAGGGTACTTGTAATCGATTGCGTCCATCACTTCACTGACAGAAACCCTTTTCATTATCCGAGTCGACATCATCGCAGTCCTTCGTGTTAAGCAAATGCACTCACCTTTTCTTTCAGTCAACGTCCTCGTCGGGCTCCCTAATTCATACTCAAATCTGTGTTACATCTAACGTCTTAAGGAATTCACCTAAGTTCAGTTTTGTCTGTTTTATTTAGAAAAACGGGTACTTCAGAAATGCTGCTGATTTTAGCTACCGGAATACTACAACTCTTTTGATATTGAGAACAAGGGTGATTAGTGCATACATCTCATTTATGTATTACCCGGTCTGTCATATAATTGTCATCATCTCGGATAGAACGACGTATGAAAATACACACATAGATACACACACTCACATATATATACATATATATATATACCTATCTATAGACATAAGTACAAACATTTATACATAATTATAAAGCGATTCACATAGAGGCAGATAGGCAAATAAATTAATATACAGAAAATGTCGGATATATATTACATTGAAAATCAAGTGGACATAAAGGCGGACATCTCGACAGGAAGGCTCATGTATATATGTTTAGTTAGATAGACAGATGGACAGTTCGATACACAGATCGATAGATAGAGAGATATATAGATGAGGAAAATTCGTCCGGCAAGTGAATCCAATCTATGATGAAAAGCCGAGAAGCACTGTGCACCTTTTTCATCCGCAGTAGGAATCATCTGCAGTGCGCATCTCACGAAACTCGGATCAAAAAGCCGCGACATCCAGACCAGTTAACTGAACACTTAACTGTTTGGGCACTAGTGGCTGATCAAAAGTGTGACCAACTCGCACTTTGAGAGGATAAATCGACGCTCATCCTCCAATCACGGGATGTACATCTCGCGGTCACACGTGCTGAATGGCTCTTCGAGCAACGACTTCTCAGATAGAAGTTTCACTCATCGTGTGCAGTTTATCCTTCCACTGAGCTAAGTATATATTGTTGGTGGTGTGAGGATATTTGAGATTTTTCTGGAGATTTTGACCTCTGAGTGAAGCCAATCTATGGTGAAAAGCCGAGAAGCACTGTACAGCTTTTTCATCCTTATTGGGAATCACCAGCAGTGCGCATCTCACGAAACTCCGAAGAGTCTCGAAATCGCGACCTCCGGACTAGTAGTTAAAACACTCGACCGTTCGACCACGTCTGGCTAATCAGCAGTATGATGAACTCACAGTTAGATAAGATATATCGCCACTCGTCCTGCAATCACGGGAGCCGCATCACATAGCCGCGGTCACACTAGTTGACTGGCTCGTCAATCAACGAATCCTCTGATGAACGTTTCACCCATCGTTTTAATTGGACAGATAGATTGATAGATATATAAATAGTTCGATAGATATATAGACAGATAAATAGATAAATACGTACATAGATTGTTGGATGGTTAGCTAGATAGATTGATAAATGGAGAGGTAGATGGATAGATAGATAGATAGATTGATAGATAGACAGTTAGACTGGTTATTTTCTTCTCTTATTGAAAAATCTAGGAAGACAATTCTCCCAGTATTTTCAGAGCTTATTGAATAATCCAGGAAGACAATTCTCCCAGTCAGCATTTTCAGAGCACCTGTTAACGTTATATAGTGCCGAATTGTATTCCTGTTTCCAGGTGAAAGTTGTAGATAGAAAACTATCGTCTCGTATGCATTTATTCTCAATATCTCGACGCCTGATGGGGGCCGCAACCGAAGAAGAACACGAAGCTGCTTGGCGAAATTTACACCGTGCACTCCAGGTTTGTAGGTTCTTTCCTTTCTTCCGACAAAAGCAACTGAATGCACCATATAAAGATCGCTATAGGTTTGAATTGATTTGCTTAGTGGAGAATATTGTGTGATGCTTAGATGAAGATGAACGTTAATCCAGTTAGTAATGTAGCGGGAATTTCTTGAGGCCACAAGTTAATCGGACGCGGTCCGTATGGTTGTGCAAGTAATCTTTTTAAGTCTGTCACAATATTACACAACTTCTCCACTCGCTATTTTCAGCTTCTACACGTCGTCAAGGACACAGTTGCCGACATCGTCAGGGATGTGATGATCCACCATAAGCCAATGGTAAAGCGCTTGCCCAGGTGGGATGAGCTCATGTGTTTCAAGGCAGTATTCGATCAATTCCAGACGCATTGTTTCACAATTCAGCATGTGAGTTGACCTCGTGGTGCACACAAACTAGCGTGCAAAAATATGTATACCATATTTGTCAATGCATTCACTCTTGGTTTCACCTAAGGCGACCATAAGTGCCAAACAACCCTTAGTTCGGTTCCATCACAAGAACTATTCTGTAGGCAATTTCGAAGCTAATCGGGTACTCACATCACTAGCACCATCGTACTTTTCTTGAAATTTGGTGACCACTCCGAAACCTGGTGTTCAACAGTTTGAGAGTTAGTTTCCGAAGCGACTTTATGTGTATGCACTTTATCACCAGGGTGAATCCTAGAAGGCAGCAAATGATGTAGTTTTATCAGTTTAATAAACAAACCAAAGCGTTCTGAAATGAGATCGCCTTCGAGTGAAAACATGGAGATACCTAGATTGAGAGCAGCTGAATGATGTTGTCTGGCTACACTTTAGTCCAGTTAGATTTAATGTGATTGATTTTCTTCGGAAATGACACTAGACAGTCGTGACAAAGGACCCGTATGTTTGTGAATAAGCAACATTTGGAAACATGTGCAATTCTGGCTAAACTCACTTGTATTGATATTCAAATCGAACAATTTTGAGGAACATTTACCGAACAAATCGACGTCCGACCAACGGAAGCTGCGTTGAAGCGGTGGAAGGAGGGGCTTAATTTTATATCGATATTTCTGTTCCATTTATTCTGTCTCGTGGTTCCACTGTTTCGAAGACCTAATAATAAATCTCTGGAAAAACATTCTGTACATATGTGTTTAATTAAAATTCACAGGTGAGCTCAAGACAACCCGGACACTTCCCTGGCGAGCTATCAACAAGCCAGGTTGCCTGACTGATTTCAGATTTCCTAAAACCGTCTCGAACGGTTCCTCTTTCATTACATTCAAAATTGACAGCATTTGCAGTCAGAATCCGATCTCAACATGGACGATCGTCACTAGATGAAATACGCAATTATCTGCAGAGCACGATCAGCAGTCGTAACGGGACTAGCTAGATGGTTGCTGGAAGGTTTTTGGTACCTCGCTGCCATTTGTGCCATTCTCGTCATCAGGTAGTTCTAATTAGGTAGGCGCACTTCCTCATTTCCCGTCAACCTTCTGTTTCATTTGAGCATTTATTGGAGCGAAACATCATTGTCAAGATTCACCCGGATTCGTTCGATTCTCTTGCTCTGGGAGCATTGGTCAAAATATGTGTAATTTGTGTTCAAGTGTAACATGAGCCTGACGGAAACTCGGGGACTGCGACCACCTGCTGAGCCCCAATACGAGTGAAACCGGTAATAGCAGTACCAAGGAATTTATTTCGTGGTGCTCACACAGTTTCACTCACTCGCCTGTTCTCTGCTAACAATGAAGTGGTTTTATCAAGATACTTCCAAATGTTCGAAATTCAGGTACGCTGATACTCGCCAACAAATCTCATAAATAATTTCTTCAATCTCGGGCCTGGTACCCGCCCGAAGTTCAGTGTGCCTCATAGACAATCTTCCTCACTCTACAGAATTAATTGCACTTTTTCTCGTGAATGCTGAATTTCGTTGGTGTACGTTAGGGTGACTCTTGCCTGATCACACATTCCTGTTCCTTTGGTAGCGTTCTTAGGCATTGTTCCAAACCTGTGTTAAACATGTACGATCCTCGGCCCGTCGTATGCGTGGTGATTCTTCAGTTCTCTAGTTCCTTGTAAATGCGTGGTGAACCTTTCGTTTGCACGCCTAGATTGACTTCCCAGCTGAGATCCTGCTATCACTCCGTCTTCAGGTCCCAGGGTTTGCTCAGCTATCAGTTCAACTAATGGAGCTGTGCGAAGCCGGATACGAGGTCGAAGCCACCATCAAGTCTCTCCACAGAGTCTGCTCCTGAAGAACACGCACTCTGTGGTGTGACGCTTAAAAAAATAAAATGAATCGCAACTGGTCCGCATCGTGTTCTGCTATCGTTAATAGACGGGTGGAATTTTCCCATAAAACTGGCAGTAAAATAATCGTTTGATGATCGGAAGGAGTAAACTAGACTCAGATTTAGAACCTGCCTAAACGACCAGCAGCTGTGGCCGACCTAAGGGAGATAAATGGAAACCGGTGATATGCAAGCGACATTCGGAGCGATAAGGTGTGTAACGGTGGACACTAGTGATGGAGTAATGCGAATAGTATTTAGTTCTTATGTAACTCCGCCTTGATCCAATTGAAGGTCGTTTAGTACGGAATTTTTCGATTCGCTTTGCAGCTTTCGTTCATAATTCCGTGATAGTCAGTGAATACCCACCGAAGTACAAGAGGACGCTTTCGAGAAGAAAAAGCTTATGCTGTTTGTCAAAAACAAGGTGCGTGGGAGGGTTTCACCTTTCTGTCCCATTGACTGTAACCGTGGCGCTTGGTCTCGCGCCACCGAGAGCCAATCATATTGATGACTAGCCAATCGGTTAGGTGCTGAAACCACTAGCCGGGCCGTGATTGGTCCGGTTCTAAACTACCTGGAGTTTCGTGAGAAGCAAACTGGTGATGATTTACAATGAGTGTGAAAGAGCTTGACAGTAATTCTCAGCAGTTGGGCATAAACAACCATCAATTTCAAGATAAAAATCTCCGAAAACGATTCCAAAGATTTCTCATGATGTCAGATAATATGGGACGGCATCTACCCTAGTATGGATCTGGCACCTGTCAGCAGGTTGAAAACCACATCCGAAGAGGTTTCGAATCTGATTATTTTCTAACACTGAATAACGAAAGTGCATAAAGTTGAGTACAATAACCTCTATTCGTATCAAATGTTGACCTTACAGAGCAATGACTTTTTTACACGTGTGCTAGATGATTGATGGGCCGTCTGAAGCCGCCATATAATAAAGGGATTTCTGTGAGCTGGTAACACAACACTGTCATTTAATTTGCGCCGAAGTAACCCATTTCGGGCCGTGGTGTATTGCGCTTGGAAGTGACTGAATACCCCCTTTTTTAAGCGATTTCTTCCGACCATGACTATCCGTGTGCCCTGTGTGGATGCTGGGTTATTGCATTCCGGATGAGAATATCAACAGTTACTGCCGATACACATCCACCATTGAGTCGTACCATAGTAAGTAGTTTAAGTTGGCCGTTGAGTGTGTAGTTGTCCGGGTCTCCAATAAGTTAATCTACCAGTAGTGGGTGGCACAGGAATAAAAATAATAACACCAAATTGAGCATACATCGGAACGAACTATAATAATTGTTCTTTTCAACATAGTTCGTCGTTTGCCCAGGTCATTGAGTAAACAATAATTCAATCCTGGTTGTCACCGAAATTGTCCTCACGTATAACAGATTCCCAATATATTCTGAAGTGTTTAGATGACAGTATAAGCACAGGGGATTCGCAAATGACCGCTTTTAGCGCGAACGAAATCAGAACAGGAAGTCAAAGCACCTGGCGACATTTGTGTCGCATGGAGTTGTATAGATGCGCGTTTTTTGAAGTGTTTTGTGTTCAAACAATAAAACCGGTTATTCCTTTGATAAAATAAGTAATGCCAAATAAAGATACAAAGCACCACATGCTTCTCCCGAAATGACTGGGAGACTTTGCAGATAGCCGTAGACCTGTAATTCAAATCGTACGGCACCTAATAAGCTTCATTGATTATGCTAAATAAATAAAATTTGGTTCATTTGAATCTCGCACCAGGTGATACACTACAAACATGGTCCATTTAGAACAACAAAGGGTGACTTACAACTTTCGAATATTATTTTTGTCGAGGGTTCCTCCTCTAAATCCGGTATGTATAAGGTGGCAACTGGGTATGTGACGTCATGTTGTTTTGCCGGGTCCCTGGTCTGAGGAGTTTGATAAAATCAAGTGATTCAATCATTCCGCATCATCATTATCATCAAGATAGATATAATCGCCAGGATCTTCATCAACATCATCATCATCATCAACGTGATCGTCACCATCCACGTCAGCTTGGCATCAATGCTCGCCGCTGGTGCCTCGCTGACCCGCAAGCAGTTTTCAGGTGGACGTCTTATTGTGAAGCAAAGGAAAGCCATTCATTTCTGGTTTACCACTATCCTTTGAGGATGCCAAAGCTCCCAGACACTCAGTCAGCCAATCTGAATGAAAACTAATATCAGGAACGCCAGTGAGACGTTTTGGCGGCCATATCATGCTGATTCTAATATAGACTCATTAAAATCCAAAGACATTACAATCAGGTTGAGAGGTAATTAGTCTTGAAATGAATATCATCAAACACTAAATCTTTGTACAACTGGTTCTGTTAGTGTTGCGGGGATATTTTGTTTGTGCAAATAGAGAATGGTCGTGATTGTCTCCCAACCAGAAATCCGGCTGTTTTTGAGAAATTTTAGTTCATCATTCTGATGAGAACTCTAATTTTATACGAGAAATCCTTGTCTTTGAATGAGTTTTCTTCTCCCAATGTGATAATTGCTGAATAAATGAAAATCAGCAAAGTCACTATAAACTACTTACCATGTTTGAGGAGAGGATCAATCTGAATATTCACTCTTGAACGTCATCTGGTTTGCCCCAATTTCTTTTATCGCTGTCAAGTCCAGAATGATGCTTGCAACAAGACAGATTGTCTAAATGATGTGATAAGTTACTTGCTTTATCCTGAACGGAAATTCACACCGACATGCGCAGTCTTCTTGAAGTCTCTTCCTTACCATCATACTCTCCTCGAATAAATTCTCTCTTGCATACTCGAACACGCGACCAGTTGTAGATTCATTTACATTAGTTTACATCACCTATGGTTCTGAGATGACGGCGTTTGATCGAGGAGCCAAATACGTCTCAAAAGACGAAGCCATACTGCGAAACAACACTGAAGGTAGCGTGACGTATATGCTGTGAGATTCCGTGGTATCCCGCATTGCAGCCGTACTTGTCTAGAATCATACAAATAGTATACCACAGATTCGCGTATGTGCACCATCTGTCCCACTACAGTGTAAAATTACGTATGAGTTTTAAGTCAGAAAATCATAAGCGCCAGCGCACTCGGAGGTCCATCGTGAACATTCCTACAAAACGACATGATTCAGGGAATATTATTCAACGTTTCTCCCCGCAAGACAATACATGGAGCACTGTAAATCTCTATGAGATCTCGTTCATCCAGAATAATGCTCACCCTCATGGTGTTTCACTGATATCAGCGTGGCATATATTATCATCTGAGAAAACCAAAGACCGAAATAATTGAAGGAGAAGCCCTCCAAATTTGAGTTACTTAAATGGATGAAGGAATGAGGCAAAATGACTTTTGTCCAGATTGAGCTGATGATATCGTAAATGTGGACCTTATGTCGAACAATTCCTCTCATCAAAAGAAAGCTTGTCCCTTTTCACAAAGGTTTGTAACATACTAACTTTGCTCCTAACTCATTAACTTTGGCTACTGTTCCGGTGTCGTAATGGATGAAGTCAGACGGTGCTAAGCGACGTAATCTGCTCAGGCCATTTGAAGTCGAGTCTGATGTATGCATGAGCTAACACGTTGCATAACAATGTTTTCCAAAAATAAATGCACACAAGACAATAACAGCGACACACATATCATTTTGATAAGTCCTCTTGTTGGGATCGTCGTTGCAGATAAGCGCTTGTCCGATTTTCACGCCAAGTAATTTGATTTACCGGTTCATTGCACAACCACTGCATAATATGTGGGTCAGGAGACGGAGGATGACATCAAATGGCGCAAAACGGAGTAATCTGCTAACGTCATTTTAAGGCAGGCCTTATGCAATGAAACAAAGTATTACTCCATAATCAATATGGTTTTCATCGCGCCGCCACGTTGCAACTTGGTGTATGCCAACCGTAATTACCAAAAACGTGACAACAGGGGCACGCCTTCAGGGAAACCGGGACAACGAAAACACTCTTGAAAATCAGAACCCATTGCATACAACGACGCAGAACCATGCCTGTATCTTCATTGACAAAATTGAAGGGCAAGAAATTTGGCGTGGACTTGTGCGTTTCCCGACATACCAACCATTGTCTATCGCGGGTATCAAGTTATAGAACACGCGCAATTTTCGCAGCTTAAAACTCCGACAGAAAATCCGACACTTGACCGATGCCACATTAAACAAGTTCGTACCTAACTTGCATTGTGATAAGGTATCTCGTTGCAATCACAAACGTAGATCTGGAAATGTGGAAATAATCTGGCTTAAGGTAGGTGACGTACACAACTGAAAACCCAGATTGATACTATATTCATCTGCTTTAACATGGTAAGCGGTATTTAGTGTTTTCGCTGATGTTCTGATACCGCAAGCTCTCATCGTGCTCAACTAATGATACATTCTCGTCAAGACCGAGGCTTAGCGAATAAATTTAGAGTCTTTTTCAGGTATGAGGCCAAAATTACACAAACGAACACCACTATGGTCTTCATCATGGGGATGAGCTGTATCCACGCTCTCAAAATATTGTGACTCCCTGGTCTGTACATAGAAAAGTTTCATGTGAAATTTCAGAAAGAACCGAATGTGAGGTGAGCATAGAAGGTTCTCTTGAAAGCTTCCGCAGTGGGTTTTGAAGTTCCCATAATCGGAATACCAAGAGCAATTTAAAATTGGGCGATTATTATTTGTGAAAATTAGCCGATAATCACAATACCATCTCATTTGGTTTATCTGATCCGTCAGAGTGTTTATATACCTAATTTCTACGGGATCCAACTCTTCAGTTCTGAACAGATGACAATGTCGCCGGTGGGTGATTGAACCCGCTGCACAACATCATGGATTATAAGACCCTTATCTCACTGAATTACTTCAGCGCTAATAAACAACTGGCTGAGCTGATTTTTCTGACGTCCTCGCTATTCAGATCACGGTGTGATCAGAAGTTCTC